AGGCTCCAGGCTCTGAGCCATCAGCCCAGAGCCTGACGCGGGGCTCGAACTCACAGACCGCGAGATCGTGACCTGGCTGAAGTCGGACGCTTAACCGACTGCGCCACCCAGGCGCCCCTGACCTTTAATTTTTAAAAAGACAGCTTTTAGAAGTTAAGTAGAGAATTTTGTAAGCATGCACTGGGTTGATTTTTTTTTTTTTTTTCAGACAAGTGAAACCAAGAAGATAGGAGCTACTTGCTGGCAAATTAGTAGAACATAAAGGCTCATGTTGTATGTGTTGCAAGACCCTAACCACAACCTCTCTATTCAGAAGACCAGCCAAGACTGTGGCCCACATTTCAGGGGACATGAGGGACACCACCAGGTAGTTAAGTATCTCAGAAACTCTCTGCTCATTGGAGGAATTTTTGTTGAAGTGAATGCTTATATATAATTTTTGAGGTCAACATGAAACAAGTTAGAAAGTAATCAATGTTCACTGAGGAGCATTACTGAGAGACAGGCGGTTTATAGGTTTTTGATTGTGGTGCAAGATGTGCACTCGTTCCCGTGTGAGTGGGATTTGGGATTTAATTTCAGAACCACCTTGTAATATATCTGGTGCCATATAATGTTACTAACTTCCCCCAATATCATCATTACTAATAAGAGCTATCTATATTTTGAACCCTTAGTACACACGGCCTTGTGCTAAATTCTGACCGTATTTTAGAATTTCTTCTACATAGAAGATGCTCATAGTAGAGCATGAGGTGGATAATATTGTCTTCCTTTTATCAGTCAGGGAATCCAGAAGAGTTAGGAGTCTGTTAAGGGTCACACAGCTACTCAGTTGGAGACCCAGGGTTTGACACCAGTCCTACCTAAGCCCCCAAACATGTCTTTAACCACTGTTCTAGGGGCACTCTGCACAGTATTTAACAAGGGACAGATGGACTTGTTTCTAACACAAGTCAGTTTGAAGAATATTGTAAGTCAAATAATTATCTAGTTTGTATCTTCATGTTCACATGTGAAGGAAAAAACTTCTGTTGTCCCAGGAATTACTGTTGTGCTTTGCATTTCTAAGAGCATATGTTAAAACTGAAGAAAATTCCTTGCAGATGTAAGACATGTCTGGTAACACTTGCCTGATCGGTCCTTTCAGTTGGATGCCATAGCGACTTGCCCTACCCACCCCACCCCCACTTCTCTTTACATAAAAGGGCTGGGTTTTCCTATCTGTCCTTAACTTCTCCTTACTCTAGGACACGCTCCACAGCTTTGCTGTTGACAAGCATTTCTTGGTAAAGGGTCCTGTGGCGTAAAATTTCTTAGCCTTCTACCACTTGTAATACATAAACATTAAGACGGAGGGCTTCAGTTTAGAAGACAAGCAGGCAGCGCTCATTCAAAGATGTGGGGACATAGTAGGTTCCTATCTTCTCTGTGTAACCATTCAGATAAAGACTGTGTTAGCCAAGTAGGATTTCCTATGGATCGTGGGTTACCAAAACATTTTCTTTCAAAATGGACTTTTAAGAAAATAGGAAACTGTGAAATTACAAAGGTTACAAAAGACTTTAATTCCTACAATGACCTGAGGGTTAAGCGCACACACACACACACACACACACACACACACACACACACACACCCGTAACTTCGTTGTAAAGAATGCTTCAATAATTCGTTAATACTAACAATTGAAGGGTGCAATTTATTCAGTGATAGCCATCAAATCACCTACTGTTGCAGACATGGGTGTACCAGGGAGGAGATGAGACTAGTTTCTTAAGATCTTTTCCTAGTTGCTTTGAAATGTTCATCTCTTCAAGTCTCTCAGCGCCCCCCCACCACCTCCAAAAAAAAGAAAGAAAGAAAGAAAGAAAGAAAGAAAGAAAGAAAGAAAGAAAAAATTAGAGAAGAAAAGGAAGGGGTGTGGGGCTGGAAAGCCCAGGGGTGAAAGAAGACTCCTCACCCTGTGATTGGGGTTATCTTAACCTCTTCTCTGCTATTTATTTAACTTGTGTGTACAGCCAGAAGGAAGCCACTACTCTGGGGTCCCTGGACAGCTTAAATCCCCGTGACCCACTTAACACAATAGATTGTTTTAATCAACTCGTGTCCTGGCACCATCTCGAAGGGGAACATAAACAGACGCGCGCACCGCTCGGATCTGCTTTTTCCAGCAGGAGATCCAATTACCTGCCAGTGGTCGTCTCTCTGCCCTTGTAGCCTTTCAAGAGAGATTTTAACCCCTAACGTCTAAAAGAGCTGGGATTCAAAGTCGACAGAGGAGGAGAAGGCGACAGCCGGATTCTACCCTGGGACCCATTCAGGCCAGCTCTGGGAGCGCGGGAAAGGCTTCACTGCAAAAACTTGGTCACCTCCTGTCTGCCCCCTGCCTCGCCCAGGGACTGTGGCCAGGGCCCGCCGCGGGGAAACACCAGGCTGGGGCGCTCCCGAGGTGCAGCCGGGACCCGAAGACAATGCCAAGCCAGAGCGGTGGCGCTTCCGTTCTTCCCAAACCTTAAGTCTACAAACAGCTCTGGCCGGCGAGGTGACAGTACCTCTGCCCCTCCGCCCCGGGTCTTGCAAGGGAGTCAGCAAAACGGCAACAGGGAACTGGGAACACCTGGGCATCTGAGCCGCCAGTCCCGCATCGTCCGTGGCTAACAAGACGCAGCGGGGCGAGGCAGGGCACTCTAGAACACAAATTAAGGGGAACGGGACCCTGCGGGTTAGTTCTTCCCGGCTGGCTCCTGGACGTTCGCGGTTCAGCCAAAGGGCGCGCAAGGCGCGGAGAAGCCTAGAAGAGGGCACCGAGCGCCCACGCGTGCGTGGCCAGCAAGTGGATGTGTGTGGTGTGTGCGGTATGAGCACCACGGGCTCTCTGTACTCCGCGTCCCGGATCGCGCACTGCACTGAAGCTGACCCGTCACCCGACGCTCGGGTTTCCGCCGCGGCGGAACTTGGCGGAACTCTACCCTTGCCTGAGTCTCCATCTCACCTTGAGGATGCGCCCATGGACGCACGGCTGGATTCTTCGGATCCTCCAGCCCACCGCAGGCTCACTCCCGGCACTCGGACGGGAGCCCCCAGACGTCCCGAGCCCCAGCGCCCCGCCTCAGACACAGGGCACCCTCTTAGTGCGGCTCGCCCCATCGTCTGCGGCCAAGCCGCAGGTCCCCACCGCTCCCCACCACTCCCGCCCACTACCCCTCCGCTCCCGCGATGCGCCCACCCGGACTCCGCGCTTTCGAGGTGAGGGCACGGCTGGCAGGCGCACCAGGAGCGCGTTAGCGGGGCTCGGGGAGGTGGAAATGGGATGCGGGGCCGTAGCTCTCGCTGTTGTCGTGCTCCTTCCCAGCCTCACCCTGAGGACCTTGCAAGGTGGGGTCACGGCAGCCACGACTTTGGCAGGAAGGACCCCTGTTTTTCGGCATTATTCACCCTAGGTACCGGGGCCTCGGTCTGCGCGCACGGAGGGCTACCGCGCGTCTGCACCGAGTCGGACGCGGGAGTCTCTTGCAGGGGACCCCTCTGCACGCCTCCCCCCATACACACACATCTCACATACACAAACTCACACTCACACCCTGACGGGCACCTTCGCACTCACCTGTCAGTGCGGCGGGTCTTTCGGGCCTGCGCTGTCGACGCGGGGCGCGGTGTGCGGCCGCGGCCCGAGCCGCCCCGGCTTGGCGCGGGGTCAGCCAGACAGAGAGTAGGGCTCTCGCTGCACACTCGGTCGCCCGGTCCGCGGAAGGCGCACCGAGTGCGGGGCATCGCTCCGTCTCCCGTTTAAATGCCGGCGGCCGTGCGCGGCGCCCAGGGCCGCGCCTCTCCATTGGCCAGGCGCCGCCGCCGCCGCCGCCGCCGGACCCGCTATCCGCCCCCTTTCCCGGTACTGCCCCCGCCCCCCCGCACCCCTCCTGCCTCCCCGCGGGGTCCCCTCTCCGCCTGCCTCGCCTCTTTGTCTGCTCCCCCCGCCCGGGCCGGCTGGGAGAGGTCACCCCAGGGAACCGCGCCTGGAATGCACAGCAAATCACATTTTCCGCTCCCGTTGGAGGGGGAAGCGCGGGAGGAAATCCCCCCGGCTCCCGGCCCCTGAGTCCTCCTCCGACCCAGGCCTGGGCTTTTCCTCTCTCCAGTCCCGCTTCGCCTGCATCGGCCCCGCAACGCGCTCGGTCGCAGAGGCTGCCCCGGGAAGAGCAAGACCTCCGTGGGACCTCGACAGATTAGGCGATTCTTTCCCCGTGGCGGGAGCCGGACCGCAGGATGCTCTGGTTGAGCGGTCGCAGCGGCTCCGGCGCGGCTCGGCCCGAGGCCCCCAACTTCGAGGGCGCTGACCCCCGCGCCCCCGTTAACCCCGGCGGGCTCGCCGGCCGCCGGCAGGAGCCTGTGTCTCCAACACGACACCCTCCTCTCCTCACCCGCCGCGGGTTCTTTCAGCTCAGATGCTGCCGGCCTCGGCCGAGAGTGTACAGAAGGGAGTAGCGGAGGGGAGAATAAACCGAAAAGGACCCTCAGAAGTCAAGGTTTCCATTTCCAAGCCATCTTTAAAAGGGAGAGAACAATAGCTACGAGAGAGGAGGTTTTCGGTGGCCCGTTCAAGATGAATAAATCAGGAAAATAAAACGTCAGACGAGGAAATAAACCTCCCGGAGATTTAAGACAAAAACCTACGTTTGTGAAAAACCGATGTCACATTCCATATTTATTACTGGGAACCCAAATGGATAGTGGCGAACACACTAAGCGCGTAAATATTTTTCGAAAGATGAGCGAACACTTTCATTTTTTCTTTTAGCTTGAAAATTGGTTCCTCAAAGAAGCCGTAAATTCTGTATGTCGAAGTTGCAGCCCGTGCAAAAATCAACCCGTCTGCAACTTCTGCAGACCGGCTCCATCAGCCAGGTCAGAGGATGACTTTGGGAACGAAAAGAAAATAGTTACAGAAGAAAATTTGAAGGTGCCTATAGACACTAAAACAAAATAAACAAAACAGTGAAACCCAGCAAAAGGTACTTATGAAACATGTGCGATTTAAGCCCTTGGCGAAGAAAACAAAACAAAACCCTAGAATAGCATGATTTTTATCTCTTTAGGCAGTCCCTTGTGGGGAGGGGGCAAGAAACATTGAACACCTACTAGATACTCTTACGAACTGGAAATCAGTTTTTCCAAGTGCATGAAACAAGAAGGTGGTCTGCATTAAATCAATACCTGGAGAATCTTTACAGTCCCAAAGTTTTGTTTGTACAATTGCAGTTTCTACCCACACACTCAGTGCTGCACTTTAAATGTTGCCAATAATTTTTTGTTAAATCATCCCATGAGCCTTAGTTTGTAGCTGCTTGCGGAATGAGAACATTCAGCGGGGCTTGAAGATTTATCCTGGTGGGGTGGGCTGTAGGAGACATAGGTGGTCAGGAATACACAAAATGCTCAGGCAATTAACAGTCTGGCCAAAGGCCACCACCAGTCTGTAGAGGCCAATTGTTCTCTCTGGGTGTGAACTATTCCCCCAAGGAAAAGGGAGCATATTTTACAAATGCATTAGCTCCTTCTAATTTAAAATCAATGTTTCAGTCATTTTTTTTTCCAGTACTCCTATAAACTGCCCCAAATCAAAATACATAGGCAGAACTTACCTTCTGAATTGGAAGTCATTGTTCTGGAGCCCTGACACTGCTTTTATACATCTCAATGTATCTCTGTGACTGTTTCTATCTCTGTCTAGTAAATGCTGTTGATATCACTATGCCCCCTTCTCCAGAGGCTTCTCAGACCACAGTCTCTACAACAGAAACACTGCCTCCCTACCCCACTATTCCACATTAACTCCTCTCTCCCTGCCACTACAATGGAGGCTTCATGAGAGTGGGGACTTTTGTCTATAGCGGTCACTCTGATTATACCAAGCTCACAGAACACAAAGTGTCTAAGACAGACTTAGGATTTAACAAATAGTTGTGAGCTGGGGATGTTCAGCGCATGCCCACTAACTAGGATTAGCAACTGAGCAGAATGCTGAGGATATATAACCATCATGAATATAGTAAACATGGGCCTTCACCTCACAGAGTTTATAGTCAAGTGTATTTGTAAATATTTATACAGATATCCAAGCCTTTGGCCTCATATTTGTGTTTCCACAGCTCTCAACCAGTCATTGCAAACCATTATCCAATCAGGGGGCAGGCATAAGAGTAAAAACTCTTCAGACCTCTTTAACCATAATTACATAATTGAAACCTGTTCTTAGTAAGAGGGGGAAAAATTAGAAGGACTCCATTAGTCAAAGTTAAAATTTTAAATCTGAGCTAAAAACAGTGTTCACCAAATGATAAATGTCACTCACAGAAACTGCTTTCAAATTACCGTGAGGCTGTTTTGAGAAGTCTAGATCCTGCTCAGGTAGTGGTTTATTAAAGGAGAATCTATTACTCTTGTTTCCTCTTGTTGGATGTATAGCGTGTGTTTGTCTCCATCTAACTCCCCAGATGTTAAGAGGGGGTTACTCTTCAGATTTGGGGAAGAACCTCGAAGGCCTTTGTAGGAGAGCTTTTGCTCACATCTCGATTTTCAGCTAATTGCAGACACTATGTATGGCATCTTGCATTGGATTAAAGAAAACAAAAAGCCCTCACCCATTTGGAACTGACCTTGTATGCCCTTCCTACAGAAAAAAAAAAAAATGTGATGATTAACTTGACAGTGGTTAAAGAAAAGATGTCTGCAATGGTCACATAACAGCTAGATGATTCATATCCAGAATGGATTTCTCTTATAAGTTAATAAGAAAAAACTCTACAAATAACCCAGTAGGAGTTGGCAAAGCACATGACTGGGCACTTCACAAAAGAAGAAACTTAATGGCCCATAAACATGAAAAAGCACTAGATTATACTAGTAAATTGGGGAAATGCAAACAATAAGAAGATGACCTTGCTTAGCTAGCAGATTGGCAAAGATTTAAGTCTGCCAATAACCAGTGTTGAAAAAGGTATGGAGGGGCGCTTGGGTGGCTCAGTCGGTTAAGCGCTGCTCAGGTCATGATCTCAGGGTTCCTGGGTTGGAGCCCCGCATGGGGCTCTGTGCTGACAGCTCAGAGCCCAGAGCCTGCTTGGGTTTCTGTATCTCCCTCTCTCGCCACCCCTCCCCACCCCCTGCTCACACTCTGTCTGTCTGTCTGTCTGTCTCTCTCTCTCTCTCTCTCTCTCTCTCAAAAGTAAATAAACATAAAAAAAGAAAAGAATAAGGTATGGAGAAGCAGCCACTTAAATGCACTGGCAGTGAGAGTATAAATTGGTACAACCATCTCAGAGAGTAATTTGTCAACATGTGGTAAAGTGAAGCATGCCTCTAGCATACCACTCAGCCACTCTGTTTCTAGGTAAACACCTTACAAGAACTTGAATGCATTTATGAGGACTAGAATTGTGTGAGCACTTCTATCGCAGTATCATCTGTAACAATCTTCGCATCCATCAACAGAAGTAGGAGAAGGCATAATAAACTATTTTATTCATATAAAAAAATACTATACAGCCACTTAAAAGAATGGACTGGATTTCTATATTCCAACACAGAGCTCAAAAACATAGTGATGTCTCAGGGGGAGGAAGGCAAGTTTCAAAATGCTATAAGCAGTTTGACACCCTATGTATATTTTATAATAAACACAAGACAATAGTATGAATTGTTCATGAAAACACATGTATTCATGGAACTGAACAAAGAGTGGATTGGAAACCAGACTTTGATGGTGCCTACCAAAGTGGAGTCAGAGAGGAGGTTGGATTGGCGATGGAAGGCACAAGAGATTCCAACTTTAAAATGTTTATAAATTTCATTCTAAAAAATCTTGAAACTAATATAACAAAATGTGTACAGATTTCATCTCCGGGTGATGAGTACACGGATATTTGTCAGATTACTTTTTTTGCATTTTAGACATTTTTAAAATTTCCCCAAATTAAAAAGAATCCGCCTCTCTATTATGATTTCAAGAGTAATTTTTATCCTTATTTGGACACTGAAGATTTTTCCCTCCTTTGTGTCCTCTGTAACCAGCTCCAATCAAGGGAAGCGTGCTTTCAGAACCCATACAAACCCTTACTGGTGTTTATATGTCTGCTGATCTGTCTCAGCTCAGGGTGGGTCCCAGGTTATTCCCCTTGCTCTCTGAACGTAAGTGGCAAAACCTTGACCAGTTTCCTGTATCTGAACAATGCACATACATGTGAAAATTCTAAACAGTGCTGCCAAGTATAAGCACATGAAAGAATAAATAAATCATGCAGACCATTTTAATACAATCGAGACCTACTTCCATACAAGTATTTGTTGTCCACACTGCATGTGCAGTGCAGTATAAAAAACACAAAAACATAAAAGTATGTTTTGGTCCTTCACATCAACATGGAGGCCGAGCAGAAAACTCACAACTTGGAAGCAGAAAAATCAGAATGAATTTCTGACTCCTCCTCCTAAGAACTGAGTGCCCCTGGGTTAGATATTTAAACCCTCTGAGCCTAACTAAATTCAATCATCTGTGTTATAGGAATGGTAATACCTCACTCTGGGTGGACGATGGAATTAAGTAAAATAAGATCCATGAAAGTGCCAGACACGTAACAGACGCTTAATAAAAAGGAGTGACTGCCTGGATACTGGAATGTAATTGGGGGCCAAAACAAAGACAATGAAAATGTAATATCAGCCCGGGCCATGCCTTACAGTATCTTTATATTCACGGTGCAATGGATGCCACACAATAGG